TGTTGGCTGTCTTTCACTTTACTACTCTTCATCTCACAGCATAACCACATTCAAAAGCAGACCGACCAGACCTGCTACTATAAAACTCTTTAAAACAAAATTCATCTTCCAAATGTTATACGACAGCCGGTCCAGTCCAGATTCCTAACAGTGCTATTCTGATTACTTTGCTGTATTTCACATGCAGCACTCCATTTAGAAATTGGGACGATCCTAATGGAATCCTGATGGAATCTTGCTGCTAGAAGGTCCAAGGCTAAACACCGGAAACATAAAACTTTGACATTGGCGCTCTGCTACCAAAATGTGTGACACGTTGCCGTAGCTGAGAAATTGACCTACACTCTTCAATTGTGTTCTAGTCAAGCTAAAGTTAAAGCCTTCTCAAATATATCATCTGATTTTATACCTCATGCTATCCAGGAGAACCATAATTGTTTTATGCCAGATTAATATATTATGTGGGAGGAATATTAAGGAATTATTAATATGTGGTTTTATTAATTGTTTTTCTTGTCTCCCTTTTTAACCCCTGTATGTATGTGTTGAATTTTATTGCACTGTTTATAGTTATTGTAATGGCTTTACAAATAAAAAAATTATTTAAAAAATACTGGCAGGATATAAACAGAAAACCATTCACAGCAAATTACCTATTCAGTATTAGCTACCCAACACAATGCAAATTCTCTCCTTAGCCCACTTGAATGTCTTGCCCTCCACAATATTGGAGGGATGATATAATAATGCTCTTTTTTTCCTGCAACCTGAAAGAATCTGAGCCTCTAGTCCATGTATTCCATCAATTCACTTCTGCATCAGCTTAGGCCCTGTCCTGGTAACGCTGCCTACCAAAAGAAGCTACACCTGATCTGATTATGATTTGACTTCCTTTTTACTGTCAGATCAGAATCCTGACATCTTCAGGAGAGTTGCAGAAGGTCTTTCAGCTGCCATTGCTTTATGCAGGAAAATACTCTTCTAATTTCTAATTCTACTACTTGTATTTATAGTGTTTTGTGGGTTGAACCATTCTATTTATTTCTATTAATCAACAAAAAAATGTCCATATTTTTGAGTCTTATAAATTTTTTACAAAAATAGTGTAAAATGCTGGTCAGTTACCATAATAAAGGAACTACAGCAGGTTGACAAAAGTAGAGAATACTATCCCAGGATAATTGATTTGGAAAAGGACATGGAGTAGGTCATTTAAAAGGGGGAAAACCTGATCTCTTCTAAACATAACCTGTTTAAAAGAAAACATGGAGCAAAGGAAGGAGGAATGGAAAACAGAAGGGCCTACACACACACACACACACACACCCATAATACTATTCCCTGCAACAACATGAAAATACAGAAATGGAGTAAGAATCTGAGGGTGATGCCACTTCTGAATCTCAACAGTGACCTAGAAAATTCTAGGTTGATATTAATTCTTCTTTGAAGAAAAGTAAAGCCTTAGAGTGTTTTTCCAACCTGGTTCTCTTGGGATATATTTAACTACAATCCACATATCAAATTTCAAATTTATTTAACTATGGTCAATGACCAGCAAGGTAAAAAAGAAAAACCTCAGAACCAATGACTGAATACAGTTAAAACAATGTAATAGTCAGATAAAATCTAAAAGATTTAGACTTAAAACCAGAGTAAGAGAAAAATTAGAAACAATATAACACATAAGATAAAATAAAAATACAATAAATACAAGAATAAAATAAAAATACAGTAAGATAAAAGAGCAACTAAACTTCATAGTGCAATCATTCCAAGATTAGGACATTTCATGTCTTCTTTTGAAAATTGCTGCAGATAGAAACCTAGCAACTCTGTTGCTGATGGTAAGCTTCTGATCTGTGAGTAGGAAATGGATTCTCTCTCCCTCCCTTAAAAATGGTTTTTTGTTAAGAAGTGGTAAAGGTATCTCTGAATGTAAACTGGTATGAAAAGGACAATGGAAAAATTCATGCAACAGGCTCTCAGGTTGGTTCAGAACACAAGGACACCATCTCTCAGTGAATGGGGTCCTAGTGTATTAATCTAGTCCTGCTGAGGGCAAGACATTGAAGTGAGCCAATGAAAAGCTTCTACAGTGTGCTAGGCAAACAATATTGAATAGGTAGTTTGCTGGTATAAAGGATTTCCAGTCTGGAACCTACTACTGAGAGTTGGCTATAGCACCCAGATCTGTCTGCTGTGCAATGTCAAAGACTCTTTTCAGCTTTTGTTCTCTCTAAACCCAGAGGCCACAGGTAATATAAAAGACTACAGTAACAGAGGTCAGCTTTCCACCTTGATGAAAAACCATCAAAGAGAATTAATGAGGCCAGTTAGCTTCTAGAAAACAGGAGCTTAAGCAATAAGAGAGGCAGCAAATGTGGACTTTTGTCTCCAGTGGAATCATACCAGCTTCCATGCAGATTAAACCATTTGGAACACATCATGGGTTGCAGAACAGTGCTTGTAAGAACCTAAACTGAACAATGTCTAAGGGCTTTAAATCATTGTAGATGCATATCTGTGCACCATACAGCAGTTGAGATATTGTTTTGGTTTTAAAAAACCAAAAGCCACACTGCCTAAGAATTATGAAGTTGTAATCCAACAAATCTGGAAGAAACCAAGTTTGGGGAAACTACCATACACCCTTACAAGTAAGATCCCTGAAGGCAGTGTATGAAGAACAATGAAAAGCATAAATAAGTCAACTGTTTGTTTCTGAGATTTCACCATATTTCATTTCCCTTTATATCTTTAAATCTATTAAAGAACTAGCTATTAGTGCAAAATCTTATTCTCTACTTACAAATTTCAAACAAAATAAAGCCCATCTCCTTTTAAGATGGTCTGTTCAACTGATGAACAATGTGCAACATCAGGAAATTCCTTCTAATATTTACCTAAAATCACACTTCCATTAGAGTTTTGCTGTTTAGTTCAACATACCCATGTCTTTCAACTTTTCCTTGTAGGTAATGGTCTTTGTATCCCTCAATATCTTCCAGACATGAATACTTACAATGTTGAATATTAGAATTTGCTTGTAAAGAAACTAATGGTTTTGCTGTTTAGATCAACATACCCATGTCTTTCAACTTTTCCTTGTAGGTAATGGTCTTTGTATCCCTCAATATCTTCCAGACATGAATACTTACAATGTTGAATATTAGAATTTGCTTGTAAAGAAACTAATGGTTTTGCTGTTTAGATCAACATACCCATGTCTTTCAACTTTTCCTTGTAGGTAATGGTCTTTGTATCCCTCAATATCTTCCAGACATGAATACTTACAATGTTGAATATTAGAATTTGCTTGTAAAGAAACTAATGGTTTTGCTGTTTAGATCAACATACCCATGTCTTTCAACTTTTCCTTGTAGGTAATGGTCTTTGTATCCCTCAATATCTTCCAGACATGAATACTTACAATGTTGAATATTAGAATTTGCTTGTAAAGAAACTAATGGTTTTGCTGTTTAGATCAACATACCCATGTCTTTCAACTTTTCCTTGTAGGTAATGGTCTTTGTATCCCTCAATATCTTCCAGACATGAATACTTACAATGTTGAATATTAGAATTTGCTTGTAAAGAAACATACATGAGATTCTCAGGATGTTTGCTTCCCAAAACCACATAGGAAGCCAAGGGTCATCAATTTCTTCTTATATAATTGTTCACAGAGGACATACAGATGTACAACTGAAATCTACAATTCTTGTGAGATTTCGGCAAACTCCTGAAATCTTGCAAGATGTCAACATTCTTGCACAAACTCTTCTGAGATTTGGCCATTTAAAAAATCTTAATATTTAAATATTATTTAATTTTGAAGGGCCTCACAGGTGCTATCTGAGACATCCCAGATACACACTGCCGATCTCTGCAGTAAGCCTCCTAGTTAGGAACATAGAATAGGCTAAAATGGCTACTTCTACAGATCATATTGTAGACAAGTTACTGAAGAATTGTCCCCTCAGTCAATTCTAAATTGCTATCATGTTACAGAGACTTTGCAACAGTAAAGAACAAGCATTCAAAAAATATACTGCAGACTATTACTTGGTAGAGCAGCCATGAAGGCCTTGGAAAAGATATTCAAATGCCGTGATGTGTCTATACCTACAAAGATCAGAATTGTTCAAGCCATAGTATTCTCTGTGACATTCTATGGAAGTGAAAGCAGAAGAGGAAGAATATTAATGCTTTTGAACTTTGGCATTGGAGAAGACTCCTGAGAATACCATGGACAGCCAAGAAATCAAACAAATGGATCATCAAACAAATCAACTCAAAATTCTCACTTGAAGCATAAATGACCAGGCTCAAATTATCCTATTTCAGACATTATGCAAAGACCTAGCTCTCTGGAGAAGGCTCTAATGCTGGGAAAAATCGAAGGAAAGAGAAGAAGAAGATAACCAGTAAGCAAGGTGAATGGACTCAGTTATGGGTCACTGCTGGAAGACCTGAAAGATGAGGTTAGGGGCAGATCATCATGGAGAAAATCTATCTATGTGGTTGCTAAGAGTTGACAACAACTTGATGGCACATAATCAATCAGTAAATATATGTGAGGGAACAGGCTATATTTCTGAACCTTCAAAGGACTCTAGGATAGAGATGGAGCAGCATCATTAAATATTTTCAAATATACATTGATCAACTATGTTGTGTCACCTTTTTTAATCTTCACATAAGCCCCTGCATGATGTAGTACTAAATAAAATTGAGAAACACTGCTTTGATGTAGCTGGAGAACTTCAGGCAGCACTTGTAAATAATTCTGCATTAGGAGATGATGAACCTAGGGAAAGCTAGCATGTTAATGGACAGTATTCAAGTCTGGTGTTCTCTCTGACAATCATGTTCTGTATGCAGGGTTTTTAAACATAGAAAAGAATTTACACATGTTTACCCACATCATACTTACCCAAGAAAACATACCACAGCATGCCATGTACTATTTCTGAAAGTATAGCTCAACCTGTTACCTTAATGCGTCATTTTTATGAAGAAGCAGAGTAATTCCCAACAAGAGCAAGGCAAGGAGGATTCCTATGACAATCCAAGCAATTGTAGCAATAGTGTGGCTGCTGATTCCATGAGTGCTGCCAGTGGCTACCTGTAGGTTGGCTGTCACAATGCCTAAGAATTTTCCTGGAAAATAATGCAAATGTTACATGTCCAATGTATTTGCAGGAAGTAATCCATTTTCTCTTAGGTAGGACATAACTCTCCTTCCATCCTGCTTCTCTAGCTGATTTCCTCATCCCAGAAAACACTGTGGCTACCAGCAAGGAACAATTATTCCCAAAGAGAGCAAATGAAAGCAGCAACTGACCTCTTCATACTTTCTCTGCTTCCACTGTTACTGCTGCAATGCACTTTCCCCAGATTTGGAAAGAAGAAACACTGTGGGATTGTTAGCTCATGCACAATGCAATCCATGCTGATTCAAAAGGAATGTACATTGTGTCCAATAGTGTTGGAAAGCGTATAAGTGTATAAAATACAAAATTATAGAAGCCAATGAATATACTACAATGTAATTGCTTATAAATTAAACCAGCAGAAGTAATACTATACAGTACATAGCAAGACCTTTTGGGAGATCTTAGGAGAGTTTCAGGAAGGAACTACAGTGGTAGAGCATATATTTGGCAAGAGAAGGGACTCCTATTCAAACTGGCATCTACAACTGGAAGGATGAGGGAACGAGTAATGAAACAGACTCTGGGCCTCATAGTCTAGGACTCTGAAAACCTCTTTTCAGCCAGAACAAACAACATTGGGCTGCAATGAAAGAAGTCTGACTTGGAATAAGGCATAGTCCTTTAGGAGACACACACACACACACACGCACAGACTTATGGTTATTGTTATTGCTATTGTCATTATTGGTTATAGTAATCATCCTAAGTACTTTTAAGTCACTGTTCTGATCATTCTACCTTTCAAAATGATGCATGACTTTTAAAAAAATGCAATATTGCAATGGGGACTGTAGTTATACCACAAAATGCTGCAACAAAATAAAAGCACCTCCCCC